GATAAACTCTGTACTTTTTTCTCCCACAGAGGACTTCAATAATCTGTCTTTAAAAAAAAGAAGCAGAAACCGATACTGGGGTTTTCTGTCAGATGAGTTGTTAGTGTGAACACTATGAAAGTAATTGTTTTACTTTTGTCAAGATGACTGTGTTTTACAGTTCAGTTCATATCTACAGGAGAACAGTAGATATCACAATAGACAAAATTCTGGACAAACGTTTCCAGTATCATGTTTCAGCTTTTCAGAGCAAATCCAAAACGGTAAGTCCATTGAAAAGATATAGTTCTGATCATTCAACAAGGTTGTTTCTGTGCTGCAAGGATTTATCTGCATTTAAGATTGTGATCGCTTGCCATTGCTGTGTTTCACACGTTTCACTTTGCTGCATGTTCCAGATGTGAAGCTGAAGGAGTGTGGTGCTGAACTAGTGGAAGTGTCAGACAATGGCAAAGGTGTGGAGGAGGCCAACTTTGAAGGACTGAGTAAGTGTCAGCTTTGCACGTTCACTCCGTTAGATGAGTCCTACCTGATATTTTTGGTGACCTGAAACCTCCTCTCACTCCACAGCACTGAAGCATCACACGTCAAAAATCAGGGATTTCTCCGATCTCATCCATGTGGAGACGTTTGGCTTCAGAGGTGAAGCGCTCAGCTCTCTGTGTGCTCTGAGGTAAAACACTTCAAAGGACACGACCATTCAGCACATAAACTCAAACTACCCCCGCCTCATTAGCCTGCAACTCCTTGTCCTAGCAACCTGAGTGTGGTGACGTGCCATGAGTCCAACCAGGTGGGGACCAAGCTGGTGTTTGACCACAAAGGCCACACGGTGCAGCGGTCTCCCCATCCCCGTCAGCAAGGCACCACAGTCAGCCTGCAGCAGCTCTTCTACACCCTGCCCGTTCGACACAAAGAGTTCCAACGCAATATTAAGAAGGTCAAGTGACTAAAGGACCATTAAGATGTCTCTGCTCGTGTCCTTCATATTTGATCCTAAAAGTTCTGTATTTTCAGGAGTACACCAAAATGATCCATGTCCTGCAGTCGTACTGTATCATCTCCACAGGAGTGCGTATTACCTGCTCCAACCAAAATGAGAAGGGAAAACGCAGCACAGTGCTGAGCACCAGTGGAAGCCACAGCATGAGAGACAACATAGGAGCCATATTTGGACCAAAACAGGTTGGATTGTTGGTTTTACATTTGTCTTGATCATAATGTTTCACTACTGTGGAAGGATTACCATGTTTTTCCAAACTGTTGCTGATCCATGAGGAAAACTGATGTTGTTGATATATTTCATATATGGTAATGGAATTTCAGGAATATCCTTGGAAAATAAAATTTATAGGAAATCTTTTCTTTTTCTATGGTTGTGTGTTCTGCAGCTACAGAGTCTTCTACCCTTTCAACAACTCTCACCTACAGAAAATATTATTGAAGAATATGGACTGACAGAAGCAGATCTTCCCAAACAGCTTTTCACGTAAGTGGCCCTCTTGCATGGAAGTCCTGAGTTTGCCTTTCACAAGCAGCAGGAGATTGTCTGTGCCAGACACACTCACAACAACAGGACAGAACATTCAGGAGAGGGGCGACGCCTGGGTACAGAAATCCCATTTTTGTTTGCAGTACATTAACACCAGTTTCGGCTCTTATCATCAAAAGCTCTCGAATCTCGTCTTTCCATCTTGAAATCTTCGTCGGCGTCTCTAACCTGTATGGCACCTTTTTGTTTGAATGGAAATCTGTGTTTTGGCAGCATCACAGGGTTTGTGTCAAGCGGGGAACATGGCGTCGGGAGAAGCGCCACAGACAGACAGTTCTTTTTCATTAACAACCGACCATGTGATCCCCTCAAGGTAAGTCTTCTGCAGTGGGTTTACTGGGACTTTTAAAGGTGATGATTCCCTTATTTCAGCCTGACCTGTGGATGTGCCTCAACTTGCAGGTGAACAAAGTTGTGAATGAAGTGTATCACATGTATAACAGACATCAGTATCCATTTGTGGCCTTGAACATAGCCGTCGCCTCAGGTGAGAAAATGTAATTATATCAAAATTCTATTTCTGAAATGCAGAGTTGGCGTTTTGTTCGACGTGAGTTGTTTTTGTTTTCTTATTTCAGACTGTGTGGACGTGAACGTAACCCCAGACAAACGACAGATTTTACTCCAGGAGGAGAAGCTGTTGCTGGCTATTCTAAAGACCTCTCTCATCAGCATGTATGAGACTGGAGTCAATAAGATCAGTCTGAACTATACACACATGCCCAGACCCAGTAAGAACACTGCAATACATTTAGCCCGCAACAGTCACTATCTTTGTATTCACATTATAGCAGAGTTAAATCATTTTACGGATAATTCTCTGTCGGCGTTTCCTTCACTATGCTTTTAATTTGAATATTTGTTTGTCAATTATCTGCAGATGCGACGTCTGATTTATGTCCGGTCATCAAATCTAATCAGAACGCGCCACAACCTGCAGAATCCATGGAACCAGCAATTCAGAGGCCAAAGTCGTCCTTGAACCTGGCCAGCCTGAAAGCTGCGTTTTCAAGTCACCACAGCTCCAGTTCTGGGAGCAATTTAAACACGTCAAAAGCAGCCAACAGCGGCCCAGCACAGAAAACTCTGCAGTCTTTTTTTAATTCTTCTGTAAAACCTTCTGCTTCCAGCCCAAGTGTGAAATCTCCTTTGACTCTCACTGAATGCTCCCCAGTGGGAAAATCTGCACTAGATGGATTCAGATACAGACAGATATCGTGTGGTGACGCAGACCACGACAGAGACAGTGCTGTGTCCAGTTTTGTTTCCACTACGGCAGCTCCGGACAGTCTGTGTTCTGGCCTGGAGGTCAGTTCTCCTGAACCGGTGATCGACAGGCTCAGAGTAAAACTGGAAGAATCAGAAGAGACATCAAACAATCATCCGACTGTTCCTGAAGCCCCAGCGTCACAAACTGAGCCGTGCGCTTCAGAAGAGGATGGTGCTGTGAGCCCGGATGCCAAGCGGGCCAGGAAGGAGAATACAGAAGTCAAACCCAACACTTTCTCAAACTGTTCTGTGGGATCCTCTTCCACTGCAGTGGATGCTCCAGTCTGTGTACGGAGGAGGACGGTGCCTCTGCAGTTCTCTCTACAAGAGCTCGAAGGGAAGATAAAGAGGATACAGGAGCGGCAGAAGCAAAACGTTGGTGAGGAGCTACGCTACAGACGCTTCCGGGCCAAGATCAACCCTGGAGAAAACCAGTGTGCAGAGGACGAGCTGAGGAAGGAGATCAGGTGGAATCTTTTTTCTTTACTATAACTATACTTCTACACTGTTATTTTCACAACACTAAACATTCTGCACTTTCTTATCGACAGTAAAGACATGTTTAAAGAGATGGAGATCATCGGGCAGTTTAACCTGGGCTTCATTATCGCTAAACTCAACTCGGACATCTTCATGGTTGACCAACACGCCACAGATGAGAAGTACAACTTTGAGATGCTGCAGCAGCACACGGTGCTCCAAGGACAGAAACTCATCGCGTGAGAATCTATATTTGTTGGTTGTTTCCACTGTTATAACAAGTTTAACTGGTCAGTGATTGATTTTTGTTTTTTTCCTTGATGTTTGCAGCCCTCAGAAACTTCACCTCACTGCGGTCAGTGAGAACGTACTCTTGGAGAACATTGAGATTTTCAGAAAGAACGGCTTTGAGTTTCTGGTTGAGGAGGATGGTATTTACATTTTATTTTGATATCAGCCATTAAACATTTTTAATTTGTTTTCATACTTGACGTCCAATTTTTGATTATTACATCCAAACATTGTTTTCATTGTGACCGTAGCTCAGGTGATGGAGAGGGTGAAGCTGGTGTCTCTACCCACAAGTAAGAACTGGACATTCGGTCCAGCTGACATTGAGGAGCTGATCTTCATGTTGAGTGACAGCCCAGGTGTCATGTGTCGACCATCCAGGGTCAGACAGATGTTTGCCTCCAGAGCTTGTCGCAAATCTGTGAGTTTATAATAAACAGACCATTTTAGATATGTCAGATATTTACAAGAACAGGTTCTGGCTTTAGTTTGGAGTTTGCATTCCTTTTCCCTCTGCACCATGAAAATATAAAATATAAATGTCATAATTGCTGTCATCAATTAAGGCGAAGAGCAGATTGTTTCCTCGTACATTATCGATTGTTTTTTATGTCCGTGTTCAGATCATGATCGGCACTGCTCTGAGTGTCAGCGAGATGAAGAAGCTGTTGGTTCACATGGGGGAGATCGAGCATCCGTGGAACTGTCCTCACGGCAGACCCACGATGAGACACCTCGTCAACCTGGACATCATCTCACCAGACTGACCATTCCACTCCAGTTTATCCCTGTTCAACATCGCCCTCACTGACTCTACATAAGCTCTACATATTGTAAATTAGTTTTATTCAAGTGCTTGGTATTGACTGATTTTCTTAATTTCTTAATTTCATTTTTGTATATATAAAAACACTAATTGTTTTTTTATTGGGGGGGGGAATAAACAACATATATTCTATGTGTTGCCTCGTTCTGTTAAACACAATTTTTCCCAATTCTCTTATTAAACTTGACCTTCATCATCTCCCAGCACAGCAAGTGTCCTCTGTTACACGTTTTCATTGGGTTCACATATTATCATACATCTAAATATCTATATAGATAGATAGATATTTCTACATGTTTGTGTGTATGTAGATATAATTTAGTGTCTTTTTATATACATGTCTTTTTTTTTTGCTCACACAAACAACATGCACCACACCATGACAACCATCAACCATACACTCGCTGCTGAACCCCCACCACCACATCATCACACAGTAATCTCCATCTTATTAAATACATTTATTTGCATCTCCCTCTCTTTGTTGTGGCCTTGTGACAATGACCCTGGGCTTTCGATATTTCTTTGATGATAAAAATCCAGAAATACGTTTATCATACGACTCTTTTTGGCTGAGGGGAGTTGCCGTAGCTGTGAGCGTCCTCGCCGTTGCCATGGAGATCCTTTTCGCTCGTAGGTGAAACAGACGGAGAAAAATGAGACGCGGAAAAAACAAGAAGAAAACTACGATCACAGGTGACACACGTGTTAAAGAGGAGACAGGGACAAACTTAGAGGACACACGTGTTAAAGAGGAGACAGGGACAGAGGGGGAACAAGAAGAGAAGAGAAAAGTGGAACCGAACCTTCAGCCAGAGAAAGAGGACATGTGCCAGCTCCCCTCCACATTATTGAACCTTATTCTACAGAGGTAAACACGTGTTAGATCAGACACGTGATGAGGATGAGTTCCACTGTGACAGACATGAACTTGTTGTGTGTCTTTTTCAGACATGAGGGGGAAACCAGTGGAGCACAGTGTCACGGGGAAGGTGTCGCTTATTTTGAAAGAGGCCACATGTACAAGGTGCGACAACAGATACAAACACCTTGAACATATGGAACAGATTTTATCAATAATAATAATAATGTTTTACAATACAAGGCGTTTTATATGAGTAATGGAACATTTAGCAACTTCTAAACATTACATGTGAATTTCTAAAGCTATTTTAGATATATTTCATTAAATGCAGTCAGTTGTTACATACATTTTGAAATGAAAAATGTGAATTC